CAAGCCCTATTGTTATCGCCATAAGTCTAGATGTAAAAGGCCTAGTGGTTTCAACATTTTACCATAGACAGGAGAGCCAACGGACACTCTCCTGGTAGTTTCACAATTGTAGAAAACATCTTGGTCACAGAATTTATGAACAAAACACTGATCGTATAAATAATTTTTACGGTACGGTAAGGTCAGGTCCTTTTTAACTCTTACGTTGTCATTTTGGTTTAGAAATCAAAGGCGGAATTTTTTGAAAAGAATGGCGTGAGAGAACTTGATTTAGACTCTCATCCTTTCAGTGTTTACCTCTTCCAAAGAAAAATGTAAAAAATCTTTTCTGTTTTTGGTGCAAAATGATTTAAGTGTTTGTTATATTTCATGTTTTTTTCACATAAATTACTAGTAGAAATATTGTACAAAAAAGAACAATCACGTGCTTGTTGAACCATCTTGTTTTACGTTTGCTAGTACTTGTCGAGCACTTCTAACCACCAGCATATTATCAACCTGATTTGGTGATAATCTTTGTCTCCTATTATTTAATATAAGTCCACTATAACTGAAAAGTCGTTCGGTTCCTGAGGACGTAGCAGGAATTGAAAAGAGTTTTCGAGCAAGACATTTTAAAAGGGGAAATTTCAAAGTTGCAAGTTCACTTGACCAAAAAGTAAGAGGATTTTCATTAACTATTGATGATCATATATAAGACGAATACAGATGACTCAGCGAGAAAATCAAAGAAAAGATACAAACGAAAGAAGAACATATAAATATATAGAATGTATGTCTGTTGTTAGAATGCTATATAACGTCTAGAAAAGAAATATCAACAGCCACAAAAAAACTAGTTTATAAATAGTACTAAATGAGTTGAGAATACGTGTATACAGGGAGTAATTTGGTCAGTACCGAATAAATGAGCATATCCCAATCCCCATTCTATACATTCGCTTTTTAATTTTGATACATACTGTTGGGTGTAATGTCGTTCGCGGTAATGTCGTTCGCGGTAATGTCGTTCGCGGTAACGTCGTTCGCGGTAATGTCGTTCGCGGTATTGTCGTTCGCGGTATTGTCTCGCGGTAATGTCGTTCGCGGTAATGTCGTTCGCGGTAATGTCGCTGTATCAGCATCATCGCATGGAATTAAAAGGAATGTTTTTTGAAGATCTCCTAGAAAACCTTGACCACATGGTACTGAAATCTCGCCAAACCCCTACGTTTGTTCAATTTTTAATTCTATACCCAACCACGCCTAAACTGAGCCTCCATCTCTTAGCTGAGCTGAGCTACATTCACCTAGAAAAAGATCTATCAAAATCTTGATGGTGCGTTAGAGATTTTGACAGAAATTTTCTTATTCATACAACTTAATGTTACGATAAGAAAAAGATTTTTGCACTTTTAAAAAATCCGCTTTACGTAAGTTCTATCAGCGGGAACTGGCTAATTTAACATAACTAATTCAACATTCCTGCATATTTGGTTATAAAAGCTAATTTTTCTTTTCCAACAGAAAATGTGGGTAGGAAACAGAGCTCCTAATCGGGTGAATTTTTGATGGCCCGCCCGGAACAAGCCGGGCCAAGAAAAGTCTAGGCCTGCTCGATTCATCATGCGAATCGGTTGGCCCGACCCGGCCCGGGTGGTAATCTTTCCTGGACCGCCCGGCTCGAGCCCGACTCTAAATTCTTTTTAGGCTCAATTCAATTTTGTTATATCAAAAACACAGTAAAAGCTTTGCTAAAGATTAGTTCAGCAGCAGTATGAGTTAATTAAGAAAACAGAAATAACTTTTTGGCTAGGGAATTTCAAAAACATATGAACAATAACGAGAGAAAGAAGAGAAGGAAACACAAAACAAGGTTAGGAAAACAGATGTGGATCTTTTTCAAGTGATTTTTGAATTGATCGTCCAAATAATATATCTGCTACAGTATCAGGATTTAATGATGATCGTCGTTCATTAATTACAAGACCCACGGCACTAAACTGCCTCTCGACTCTAGCAGACGTTGCTGGAATTGAATATAAATGTCGAGCA